TACAAGTCTTCAGGCCCCCTACCCCCACCCCCCCGCCCCCCCCTACGCCCCCTAAGGCTCCTTGTGATTTAAGGGCAGGTTCGGTTCCGGCAAGAAGTGAGGAGAATGTAGGGCCCTTGAGAAGTACGATGATTTCAAGGACTATAACGATATAGGGACCTTGATAAATTAGAATAGGGCCCTGTAAGGGGTTCATGGGGTTTGTTAAGGGTTTGACATACAGGGCTTAAGACATAAAATGAAGTTCCTTCAACGGGACAATGGGGTTTTCTAGGGGTTCGATACTGGATTTTGTATCTGTTCGTTCTAAGGGTCTGTATAATTTAGAATAGGGTTTCTTTCAGGGGAACGCTATGTCTATAGCTCCACTCTAGGGCGTTTGGGGTGGGGGGGGGGGGGCGGGTGTATTCTAGTACAATACAAGTTGAATTGTAAGGCGATCCTGTTAACATAGGGGCAGGGCTGTTTAGGGTCTTGGGACACAGTCGAGAAACACAAGAGTTTGAGCTTCAGCGGGCATCGTGTCAAGAGTCATGGCTGGAAGAGTTCAAAATTTCCTCGAACTAAATGTTGTTCTGTGCTTGAGCCCGCGTCCGCAGCAGCACAGCCATCACAGGGTACCCTCTGTTGTATTCTCTCAACGTAAATTACAGCTGAACTTGTCGATCAGGCGGAGTTGCAGCACAGTGCGGTGTCGGCGTTTTAGGGTGAAGGGTTTAGGCTTCAGCCTCATGAGTGCAAGTTTATTCGGACCTCGGAAACACTTCTGGCCAGGATATCCCAACAGTGTTGCCACATAAAGCCCAGTGCTCGTCTTATAGCAGAGGCATGATGTGAAGCTTCCATTAGGGATAGCCTGCATCGCCCATTTTGGCATAGACTGGCTTTGGAATAAGATCCCTTAACGACTAGTGAGTATACACAGCCAGACAAACACATGGCGTATATTGCAGAACCACTTCTGGTCAGAAATGGCTTGACGCTGGCAACACGACTTGCCTGAGCTGGGCCACCAACGCGCGCCGGGCACGTCCTCGTGGATTTGCGGCTTGGACTCTCGGGCTAGTTAAGGATAAGACTTCAGCAAACGATCACAAACTCTCAAGAAGGTCGTGCAGCGTTACTATTATGATGCCTGTTAACCATTATGAGTCGTAGTCAAACCGTCTGTGACGATGTCAATATGCACTATGCCTAGGTTTGGATAGGCTTCTCGTGCATCATGTTCGAGTGGCTGTCACCCACTCACCAAGTGTTCGTGGACTCGCTCGCTGACCCACTTAATTTTTGATTGTAGAAGGACAAGTTCTTTGTCATGTATACTATTATAAGCTGTAACGCTGTGTATCCATTGCTGGTGTCGTCATTATCCGTGTTACCCTTCCTCTGGCCACTGCTGCCGCGATCCCAAACACCGTTCTCGTCATTTGCAGTAATATTTTTGCTATTGGTGTCCTGCCGCCTTCAAGAAGACTCTATTTGACAGTTTGGGAATCGCCCCCGATGTCGAGTAGCGTTGGCCAGTGCTGAACAAGATTGAACAGAGGAATTGGGTTCATGTACTGAGGGCACGCTGAAATTTCTACGTTTACAGGTGGACAGCCGAGCCAACCAGACTATCGGCAACATGTCAAACATTGCTGTCAATGTGCTGTGGCATTGAGTCAACAGATTCTGGACTTTAGTTAACGGTCGAAGATCTTCATTGCTGCCGGAATGCCTCAAGTGTCAATGCCTTCATCTTTGGAATAGGGTGCTAGGATTAGGGGGACCCTTGGGGATATAGACCCTCTCAATAAGGTCCCTTTTAAGAGAGCCAAAAGTAGGGTTCAGAAGGGGTACCCTTTAAGGCGCACCTCTAATAATACCTCCGAGGAATAGGGTGCAAGGCGGAGCCCGGAGTACCCTTAGACCCCGAACCCAGGCCCTTCGGACCTTGCAGAACTCTTATCGAACACGAATCTCATGATTAAGGCTAGTATTCTAAACCCTTATAAGTTATAAGGGTTTAGGGTTTAGGTTTTGTAATTATAAGTTATAATCACAAAACCTAAACCCTAAACCCTAAACCCTAAACCCTAAACCCTAAACCCGATGGTAGGGTATTCCAAGCAGATGTGCCTTGCATGGTCGCTGCTGAGGCTGCCATGGCCGAGCGAAGAGGTCTCGACAGTCTTGCTGCGCTTGCGACCTGGCCGTGGGTTGGGGAGGGTTTAGGGGTTTAGGGTTTAGGGGTTTAGGGATAACGGTTTAGGGTGTATTATGGATTAGGATTTAGAGTTTGTTAGGGAGAAGGGTGTCGGGTTAAGGGTTTAGGGTTTAGGGAGAAGGGTTTAGGGTATCGGGTTTAGGGTTCAGGGTTTAGGGTATAGGGTTTAGGGTTTAGGGTTTAGGATCCCTAAACCCCAACCTACAACCCTAAACTCTGTAATAGAGGGGCCTTAATGATTAGAATAGGGTTTTGGG